CATGGTGCATGGTACACAAGCTCGGGGCATGCAGCTGCTGTCTGAAGTGTTGTCAGAATGAGTTCGTGGACATACAATGAAGAACACCCAACCAAAGCTATCNACAAGCTCGGGGCATGCAGCTGCTGTCTGAAGTGTTGTCAGAATGAGTTCGTGGACATACAATGAAGAACACCCAACCAAAGCTATCTTTGCAATTGACAATCACCCGAATCTATCCAGATCATCTGTGTTAGGCACAGCAGTGTAAACATCGGCACTGACTAGGGATCGATCCACATTGAAGGGGTCTTCCACGATGCAGGTACACAATCAAGGCACCCGGGTTATCCGCGCCATCTCTGCCGCGTCTCTACAAAACCAGTGACGTCATGACACACACCCAACACCTGTATTCAGGAAAAAAAACGGAGAAATAATTGACAACACAAGAGATATTTGTCCCTGCGCCACGGTTCGATGCCGTCCGCCTGCTCCGGTGCCGCTGCTCCGGTGCCGCTGTGGCCAGTCCTAGCACGACCAAACCCGACCCGCTCCGCTTCGTACACACTCTTGTTGCTGTCCATCCCAGTCGGTTCCTCGCTTTCTCCCTCGTTGCACTTAGGGTTCTTGGTCTAAAAATTCTCGCGCCGAAGGATCAACCAGCCCAATCAGCTCGTCACCACCTGTCCCCTCCTCCTTTGATGGCAAAACCAGGTTACTGAGACAGTACAGCTCCCTCTAGCAAACCTAGGGCCGTGTACATAGTGTCCGTCCACCTTTCTTTCTGATGACGTTTGCCTCCGCGCACAAAGATGAGATGGGCATTGCTGCCTACACCGACGGCCTGGAGGCCCGCGCATCTGCACCTTTGTACCTGACGCACCAGTGCCGACCCAACTCCACCACAACGCACGCCTCGCGGCGGGTGCGCCGCAGCAAGGAGGTATCGGTCCCTTGAGGGTGAGTCTAGCCCTGCTCGCTAGAAAGACCCCCCCCCTCGCTAAGGGTCATGCCTACGCAAAACCTTGTCGAGGCAGCGAGGGGAAGAAAGGTTGCAGACTATTGTAATTGAGTCGAAGCATCGCCAGACGTTGGCAGATGGCCAGCGTGAATGAGACAATACTCTGTGGCCCCCTTTGTTGGCAACGTCTCTATCCTTCAGCGCGCTGACGTACTCCGTAGTCCTCTCTCGTGTTCTGAAGCTTTTCCTCGTGTATGGCCTCTGCTCGTTCTTCCTCATGCGAGTGTCCAATTTTTGTCGTGACCCCGGTATCCCGAAAATAACGACGCTTACAGTCCGATGTTGCACATAACCGTCAGTTCTGTCGTCTTCAGGCAATCCCAAAAAATTAAAAGCGCGNCCCGCTAAGGGTCATGCCTACGCAAAACCTTGCCGAGGCAGCGAGGGGAAGAAAGGTTGTAGTCTATTGTAATTGAGTCAAAGCATCGCCAGATGTTGGCAGATGGCCAGCGTGAACAAGACAATACTCTGTGGCCCCCTTTGTTGGCAACGTCTCTATCCTTCAGCGCTCTGACGTACTCCGCAGTCCTCTCTCGTGTTCTGAAGCTTTTCCTCGTATATGGCCTCTGCTCGTTCTTCCTCATGCGAATGTCCAATTTTTGTCGTGACCCCTGTATCCCGAAAATAACGACGCTTACAGTCCGATGTTGCACATAACCGTCAGTTCTGTCGTCTTCAGGCAATCCCAAAAAATTAAAGCGCGAGGGTGACCACATGACCCCCTGTAAGATAAAGTTACACCGTTAGAATAGACTAGTCTAATACATGTACCAGCAATCTCACGTACCACCGGTACTCCACCGCCATCACACACCTTCCGGTCTTTGGAGAGGAAGGCATAGCTGTGATGTGCGGTGATGTGCTGCGCTGTAAGGACTGTGTGTGTGGAGACCAAGAAGGCACCGAGGTTTATTTTTCTTCAGGCGATTAGGAGTCTNTGCACATAACCGTCAGTTCTGTCGTCTTCAGGCAATCCCAAAAAATTAAAAGCGCGAGGGTGACCACATGACCCCCTGCAAGATAAGGTTACACCGTTAGACTAGTCTAATACATGTATCAGCAATCTCACGTACCACCGGTACTCCACCACCATCACACACCTTCTGGTCTTTGGAGAGGAAGGATNTGCACATAACCGTCAGTTCTGTCGTCTTCAGGCAATCCCAAAAAATTAAAGCGCGAGGGTGACCACATGACCCCCTGTAAGATAAAGTTACACCGTTAGAATAGACTAGTCTAATACATGTACCAGCAATCTCACGTACCACCGGTACTCCACCGCCATCACACACCTTCCGGTCTTTGGAGAGGAAGGCATAGCTGTGATGTGCGGTGATGTGCTGCGCTGTAAGGACTGTGTGTGTGGAGACCAAGAAGGCACCGAGGTTTATTTTTCTTCAGGCGATTAGGAGTCTACAGTTGTCTAGTCTAGACTAGTCTACACCTTGAACAAACGGCTGCTGTAGTCTCGACTCTGAGTAGACTATTTAGCTCCATACCAACCGATGTTGAACCTTGCAAAAGGACNTGTGTGTGTGGAGACCAAGAAGGCACCGAGGTTTATTTTTCTTCAGGCGATTAGGAGTCTACAGTTGTCTAGTCTAGACTAGTCTACACCTTGAACAAACGGCTGCTGTCTCGACTCTGCGTAGACTATTTAGCTCCATACCAACCGATGCTGAACCTTGCAAAAGGATAAATAGGTTTCTCACACGAGCAAGGCTAGGTTTCTCGCCCTAACACAACCCTAGCCCTCACACGGCCAACGCACGGCCTAGCCGCCGCAAACTGGGCGAGCACGCGGCTGCGCCACGGCGAGAGGGCGCTGGAGAGGAATCCGCGCCGAACGGCGCTGTTNGTCTCGACTCTGAGTAGACTATTTAGCTCCATACCAACCGATGTTGAACCTTGCAAAAGGACAAATAGGTTTCTCACACGAGCAAGGCTAGGTTTCTCGCCCTAACACAACCCTAGCCCTCACCCACGGCCAACGCACGACCTAGCCGCCGCACACTGGGCGAGCACGCGGCTGCGCCACGGCGAGAGGGCGCTGGAGAGGAATCCGCGCCGAACGGCGCAGTGCAGAACCAACGTCAAACAACGCCCGACCAATCAGAAAGCGTCACTGAAGAGAACAAAGATGCAGCAGTTGATTCTTGTTCTCAAACGGCCGATTGGCGCTTCCTCTTCGGTTTTGGTGGTAGAAATAGTCTTCCCTATAGAGGTGGTCCTCCCTTTCTGCGTCTGTCGGCCTCAAACTTGCTTGCGGCTGTTACTATCATGCCGCCAAAACTGGCCGACAATTGCTGGTTTTCTAGCACAATTTGTTGCGTTTGGTACAGGGAACAGGCTTGTGTTGTCCCCTCCGTGTCACAATAATATTGACATGGACGTCCTTGCTCTATATGAATGAGCCGCTGTTGCCGGCAGATCTAGCCAACCCGTATCCAAGCACACGAACATTGTCTAGGGGGACGGAACTTGTGGAGCTCGACGAACACGGCAAGGACAAATCTGGCATCTCGAGAGGCCCCATTCCCATCATCAACGCCGCCGGGAGAGGATTGTCGAAAATCGTCAGGAAAATGGTCGAGCAGGGACACGATGTATCGCTTACAAACGACGCTGGTTTCACGGCTCTGCATGCTGCGGCCCACGACGGTCACGCTGACATCGCGAGGGTACTGGCCAAGGCCGGCTCGGATCTACAGGCGACGACCCGAAGGCGACACACCGCTTCATTTGGCCACGAGCTTGGGGGAAACTGCAGCGCTGAGGGCCCTGATCGAAGAAGGCGCTTCCGTCCAGTAGTGTTTACACGTTGATTTAGATCTTTAGGCCTAACGCGTTCTGATTGGTCGGGCGTTGTTCGGCGTTGGTTCTGGCGGCCGATTCCTCTCCGGCGCCCTCTCCCCGTTCCGCATTCCGAGCACGCGGCGCAGCCGCGCTTCGCGGCTGCTAGGCCGTGCTTTGGCCGTGGGTGAGGGTTAGGGTTAGGGTAGATGTGGGGTGAGCAACCTAGCCTTGCTCACGCGAAGAACCTAGCCTTGCTACGTTCAACATCGGTTAGTCCTACAGAGTTACTACCAAAGTATAACCAAGGCTCCTTCCGTCGCCAGCCGTATTCCCGGAGGGGCGACTGTTTGCGGCCTACGCCACTTATTTATCGGGTGAGACTGTTTTCGTGATGTATTAACTTCACGAGAGGTAGACGACCGTCCTTCATGTTCGTGTGTCTGTATACGAGCATGGTAGATCTGCTAGCAGATTGGGGGGGTACGTAGACAGGAGCATGTGTATGCCTGAAAAAGGCTACTATGTGTGGGCCCCCTTCCCCAATGCGGGAGGGCCACTTCTTCCCTTCCTTTCCTCGCTCCCGCGGGTGCCTAATCAGAGAGAGTTAAAGCGTGTTATCTCCTCCCAAGTACGGACATACCAACACACTTATTCCCTCGAGGGAGTCCATTAGGGATGGCGGGCCGCAGAACCGGAGGGACCACTCCGGACGGCTCGCAGGCAGGAGNACCGTGCAGTACGACGGGAGCGCGCAGGCAGCGGATCTGCGAAGAGAGTCTGGTCCTTCGGGACGACACAGCGGCAAAGTAGGGGGTTCAGACCCCCAAAAGGTGACAGTAGCCGCTGCTCACAATCAAGCTTGTTTCAGCAGCGCCATGGGAAGTGGTGCTGCTGTCTTCGGTAGTGCGAGCGTGGGATACCAAAGCGTGAAGTACACAGCGCCCACGTTCAGCGGAGACGCCAAGAGCTTTACTTCGTGGCTAGAGGATTTTTTTATGACAGCGAACACAGCAAACCTTCTTGAGCATTTCGAGGAGGGGGGGGGCGGAGATCCCCGTAAACAGTGGGCAGAGCAAAGTCCAACTGTCCAGGTTT